GATTATTAAAAACATGCATTATTTATAGTATAAAAAAATCATTATCTGCGGTAGCGCAGCGACACCAAAATGCGTGCCCCTATAAAATATTCCATAAATAATAAAAAAGCGATTTCCGGTTAACATTTTATCGTTAATATTTATAGTTTGCGTTGGCGAAATTGGCGCAAGTTTCTTTAGGGAAACATACCTCTCTAACGGAGGAAGGTAATTTTTAACAATCTATAAAGTGACAATGGAAATTTATTAATTGTTTAAATTTATTTGACTCGTTTAAAGTTGTAAATTGAAAATAATCTGTTTGGGTAAGCGCAGTAAATTCTGTTCCGTGCAGTTATTTTGCGGGAATTAAGACTAACCGTTAAGTGAAATGGGGCGGAAATTTTATCGTTTGCGTTCGTGGAATCTTAATCTTTGGTAATATCTTAAGAGCATCGGTGGTTCAATGGTAGAATGCTCGCCTGCCACGCGGGCGATCCGGGTTCGATTCCCGGCCGATGCAATTTTTAGTTTTTTTTTTTTATAAACATAAATAACCGAAGAGTAAATAATATATGTATATACAGTGTAAGCCAGCTAGATTTACAAGTACAAGTAAGTACAAGGATCAGTACTTTCCTCAGTCATCGCCAACCTCTTCATGATACTTCGAAAGAAAAACGTTAAGAGAAGCCAGACACTAGCCCAAGTCATGGATTCTCTACGTCGATGATATCTTCGTCATTTGGCCTTTTGGAAAAGAAAAGCTCCATGACTTTCAGGAATTCATCCAAAAATCCAGTTCACCACAGAAATATAAGAGAACGAACAGCTTCCATTTCTCGACGTACTCGTAAAGAAATCTACTAACAAGCTCCAACACACAGTCTATAGAAAATCTACGGACACAAACCGATACCTTAACGTCCTTTGTCATCATCACTCTTCATAGATACAGTCAGTTTCCAACTCCCTGATTTCAAAATACATTTGACTAACAGACTGTGAAATGAAAGCAGACTAAACGACTACTCAAGGTATATCCATCCCTATACGAAGAGAAGAGGAGACCCAACGTCGTATTACCCTACATTAGAGGAACGACTGACCGTATAGGAAGGCTTCTACATAAACATGACATCTCCACCACCTACAAAACTAACAAGACCATAGGAGCTTCTCTTAGGAATCCAAAGGATAAAGTGAAACTGGAAAACCTAGGAATTTATTCCATCCCCTACGGCTCATGCGATAAGAACTACGTAGGACAAACCAACAGAAGAATAGCCGCCAGAGTGGAGGAACACAAGCTGAGCATCCTCAAGAAATAACTCATATCTGCTCCCTTCCGCCACCATCTCGACACAGGTCACACCATCAAGTTTGAGGACTCCTTTGATCCACATTGAAGGACCAAACTCATTCGCGAATCCATCGAAATAGCGAAGAACGGTACCCACAAAAAAGATGATGCCCTACACTTATTAGCCACGTGGAAAATATCTCACAATGTAATCTACGAGATTACGACAACTGAATAAGAATCAAAAATGCTTTAATTTGATACCAAACACGATATGTTTACGTTAAAAAATAAGAAAGTTAGGTTAGAAATTGTGAAATGTCAAAATTAAATAGATAAATATTAAAATGATCTTAATAAGAATCAAAAATGCTTTAATTTGACACCAAACATGATATATTTTGGTTAAAAAATAAAAAAGTTAGGTTATAAACTGTCAAATGTCAAAATTAAATATAACGATTTTTTGAGAAATATTGAAATGAACCTAATAAGAAACAAAAATGCTGTCATTTGATACCAAACATGATATATTTTGGTTAAAAAATAAAAAAGTTAGGTTATAAACTGTCAAACGTCAAAATTAAATAACGATTTTTTGATAAATATTGAAATGAACCTAATAAGAATCAAAAATGCTTTCATTTGATACCAAACATGATATATTTTGGTTAAAAAATAAAACAGTTAGGTTAAAAACTGTCAAATGTCAAAATTGAATATAACGATTTTTTAATAAATATTGAATTGATCTTAATAAGCATCAAAAATGCTTTCATTTGATACCAAACATGATATATTTGGGTTAAAAAATAAAACAGTTAGGTTAAAAACTGTCAAATGTCAAAATTGAATATAACGATTTTTTAATAAATATTGAATTGATCTTAATAAGCATCAAAAATGCTTTCATTTGATACCAAACATGACATATTTAGGTTAAAAAATAAGAAAGTTAGGTTAGAAACTGTCAAATGTCAAAATTAAATATAACGATTTTTTGATAAATATTGAAATGATCTTAATAAGAATCAAAAATGCTTTAATTTGATACCAAACATGATATATTTGGGTTAAAAAATAAAAAAGTTCGGTTAGAAACTGTCAAATGTCAAAATTAAATATAACGATTTTTTGATAAATATTGAAATGATCCTAATAAGAATCAAAAATGCTTTCATTTGATACCAAACATGATATATTTAGATTAAAAAATAAGAAAGTTAGGTTATAAACTGTCAAATGTCAAATAATCGCCATGTTTTTGCTAAAAATTAAGATATCTTAATAACGGTTGAAGATAAATGAGTCGAGTTTGGGTTCATTTTAAAGGTTTTTTAATTTTCTATCCATTAATACAAAAAAAAGACAGCATTATAACTAAAAAAATTTTCTTAATTGATCCTTTTAAAAGGATCTGGCATCTGAGGGAGATCTTGCCGAAACGTGCCCCTTTCCAAAGGAAACCAACAGGAAGAACTGATGAAATCTCGGACCGACCACAATATATATACAGGGTGTGTCAAGTATGAGTAGTAGTATGGAATTTTATTATGGAAAAACCATTATTATATATTATTATAAAAGCTTTTTAAAGCAAATTTAATGAAGATTTACTGTGCCATAAATAATTTCTTATTTTCCATAAACACCGTTGTTATGATTATTTAAATCCAAGTCTGCATGTTTGATTGTTATATAAAGAAATTAAAATTTAAGAAAATCGTATCTCAAGAACGAATTGAGATATCATCATGAAATAAAATGCAATTTAAAGCAAATTTACTTAGTGTTTAATATTTTGCAGATCATTTCTTCAAATCTTCAAATATCGGAGTTATGATTTTTTGATTGCAACCTTGCATAGTTCTAAACATAAATGCTAGGGCAATTAATTTTTACGTATCTCAAAAACTAATTGAGATATCTTTATGAAATAAAAAGCTTTTTAAAGCAAATTTAATGAAGATTTAATGTGCCATAAATAATTTGTTATTTCCCATAAAGCTCGTTGTTATGATTTTTTAAATCCAACTCCCCATGTTTAATTGTTATACAATTGAAAAAGAAATTTAAAAAAATCATATCTCAAGAACAAATTGAGATATCATAATGAAATAAAGAACATTTTAAAGTAAATTTAATGGGGATTTAATGTGCCATAAATAATTTCTTATTTTCCATAAACATCGTTGTTATGACTTTTTAAATCTAACTCTGCATGTTTGATTGTTATACAATGAAATATAAATTTAAGATAATCGTATCTCAAGAACGAATTGAGACATAACGATGAAATAAACAACATTTTAAAGCAAAATTAATACAGATTTAATGTGGAATAAACGAAGTCTTAAATCCCATAAATTTCGTTGATATGATTTTTTAAATTCAACTCTACCCTCTTTTTAATGTATTCTACCATCAATGGATTTGTAAGTTATATTTTGAAATATTGTTACTCATATTCTATTTCAATCTGCGCAATGTATAATCCCATTGAAATCGAGATGAAATCCGTTCAACCAATTTCTGCATAGCATTGTGTGGGAAAATCACCATTTTCCGCATCACCCACTCTAATTTGAAATGTTTTTTGACTGTTTTCGAGAGAAACAACTTAATTTAACAAAACTAAAGCAATAAATTATTGATTTTGAACGTTTAAAACACTAAATTTCCCAATTATAACTTGGTACATTAACCAAATGTTATGGAAACAAAGTGTCCAGACACCCGTCCACCATGCTAATATGAACCAGGAGTAATAATGAACAGGGAACGAGTGCGCGGGCGGAGCTGTCATTTTTGTTCGTTTCCGGTTGGAACGGAAGCCGCGCTCCGCCGGGCCACGGTCGAATTCGATTGACGGCCGCCTGGTGACACTACGACCAAACTAAGAGATTTATGACTATGTATAGCAGTGGTGTTCACTAATTTTTGATCAAGATCGACTTTTTACATAAATGTTTTGCCAAGATCGATCGAAGGGTTTAAAGTAACCATCCTTTTTTTTTGCTCTGAGGCCCAGATATAGATATTTCAGATTCATGATTTTCTTGGCGGTCGACGTTATGGCCACCACTGATTTAGAGCTTATAAATAAAAAATAGTAATAATTGAGTTCAATCTTTTTATGGATCTAGTCTTTATGGTCCATTACTAAGGTTTTATGTATAAAAAATATTTCCCCATCGCTTTTAGTTTTTGAGTTATAATTGAGTTAATTTTCGAAAATCAACAATTTTTTTGATGTTTAATCGATTTAGAGCAGTGGTGTCCACTAATTTTTGATCAAAATCGACTTTTTTAGAAATGTCTTGCCAAGATCGACCGAAGGGTTTCTTTTTTTTTTGTTCTGAGGCCCAGATATAAATATTTCAGATTCATGATTTTCTTGGCGATCGATTCAAAACTGCTTTGCGATCGACGTTATGGACACCACTGATGTATAGAATCTATATCTCAAAAAATTATTCTCAAAGCGAATTTTTGTGATTTTTTTGCTGTTTGTAAAGTCGACATGAAATAGAAAATAGTTTTTAAGAAAACTTTAAAAAACTTTTCGTTGGAACCATTTTTCATAACAAGAAAAGTCGCTCAGTTGAGTAAGTTTAAACTTGTTCTTTTCTCGAATTGAATTGAATTCAATTCAATTCAACAATCTTGTTTACAACTACAACAATTTTTTTTGAACAAAATATAAATAAACACTTACCAGAAAGAAATAAATCCTGTAAAGCTTGCACAGCTTGACAAAGAATTGCCCATGCTTCCGGTTCCGTAAGTCCCGAAGGTCTCGCAGTTAAAAGATCCCCCAGACAAGGAACACTGTGCACTTGTTGCCTTCGATCCAAATGGTGGCCAAGTCTACGGGGCATCCTTAAAAGAACAAAAAAATTTTGTATAAACTAAATAAATCACCTGGTTTGGGGCTAACTTTAATTGGGTAAACCTTTTTCTCTAAAGACTTTGGTCATTTATCTTAATCGCTGTAAAGTTTTTCCCTCACACAGCAACCCCCGTGGGGTTTTAAGGGATGGAGTGAAAAATGAACGAAAATATTAATTGGCGAGTACTCGAGTTGACCCCGAAACGCACTCGATTCGCTTAATTATAAATTAATTAGCTGTCAGCGTCAGATGACACCGTGACTCCCCTTTTCACAATCGATTGACTAAATGGAACCATTAGAGATCCTTTACGCTTTATAACGACGAAAAGGGTTCAACCTCTTTTATCTTTTCGCACTATTCGGAGAAATCAAATAAGAATATTTCTTAAAAATCATTTCAACGCAGAATAAAAATCTTTAAAACGGAATTCTAAAAGAGGTGATAAGATTGGAAACGAGGTTTAAATTTCAAACGACGTCTATGTTTAACTTTATAAAGAGGCGAAGAGAAAAGTTTGGGGTGAATATTTAGAGGGTTGAAAAGTTTGCGTCCTCAAGAGTTGCAAAAGACCTGTTGACATCGTTATTTCGGAGTTAAATTTTGGAGCTAATAGGTTTTGAATTTACTTTGTTCAAGTAATGAATAAAAATGGACATAAAAAATAGCGATTATTTTTTATATAAAACTTATTTCCAACTCGGAATAACTCGAGAGGATGAAAGTTTTTATTTGGAAAACGATTTTAACGAGGTGAACGTCTCAAACAACGAGAACTTTCAACTTACCACCGCACGAAACCGACCTAACCCGTCATTTTCGACGAGAAAAAAGCAGTTTTATTTTAAATTCATAGGAATCTTTTGTGCTTCTGCCTCTTAAAAGTTTTGAGAAGTGGTCAAATCTCATCCTTTGTTAAGATTTGTGACAAAAAGTGTTGTTTTATATAATTATTTCCCCTATCAAATAATATTAAGTTAAAATCATTAATCTTCATTTAAAAACGTTTCATTTGATACCAAACACGACATATTTTCGTTAAAAAAATAAAAACCGGACATATCGGATAATTCGTTATATCCGATTTTGGACATTGCTTATTTTTTTTGAATAAAGTCATCGAGATTAGGTTCATTTTAAAGCATATTTAATGTTGATTATGAATTATTAAGGGAATTAATTAAAAAAATATGTTTTGATGAATTAATTGATCAAAAATTGAAAAATTTTAAGTTTAAATTATTAATCTTCATTCAAAAACCTTTCATTTGATACCAAACACGACATATTTTCGTTAAAAAATAAAAAACGGATATATCGAATAATTCGTTATATCCGATTTTGGATTTTGCGTATTTTTTTAAATAAATCCATCGAGTTTGGGTTCATTTTAAAGCATATTTAATGTTGATTATGAATTATTAACGGAATTAATTAAAAAAATATATTCTGATAACTTAATTAATAGAAATTGAAAAACTTTGAAAAATTTTAAGTTTAAATTATTAATCTTCATTCAAAAACCTTTCATTTGATACCAAACACGACATATTTTCGTTAAAAAAATAAAAAACGGAAGTATCGGATAATTCGTTATATCCGATTTTGGACATTGCTTATTTTTTTAAATAAACTCATCGAGTTTAGATTCATTTTAAAGCATATTTAATGTTGATTATGAATCATTAAGGAAATTAATTAAAAAAATATATTTTGATGAATTAATTAATCAGAAATTGAAAAACTGAAAAATTTTAAGTTTAAATTATTAATCTTCATTCAAAAATCTTTCATTTGATACCAAACACGACATATTTTCGCTAAAAAAATAAAAAACGGATATATCGGATAATTCGTTATATCCGATTTCAGACATTGCTTATTTTTTTGAATAAAGTCATCGAGTTTGGGTTCATTTTAAAGCATATTTAATGTTGATTATGAATCATTAAGGGGATTAATTAAAAAAATATATTTTGATGGATTAATTAATCAGAAATTGAAAAACTTTGAAAAATTTTAAGTTTAAATTATTAATCTTCATTCAAAAACCTTTCATTTGATACCAAACACGACATATTTTCGTTAAAAAAATAAAAAAACGAATATATCGGATAATTCGTTATATCCGATTTTGGATTTTGCGTATTTTTTTAAATAAATCCATCGAGTTTGGGTTCATTTTAAAGCATATTTAATGTTGATTATGAATTATTAACGGAATAATTGAAAAAAATATATTCTGATAACTTAATTAATCAAAAATTGAAACACTTAGAAAAAAATTAAGGTTAAATTAAGTTTAAATTATTAATCTGCATTGATAAACCTTTTATTTGATACCAAACACGACATATTTTCGCTAAAAAAATAAAAAACGGATATATCGGATAATTCGTTATATCCGATTTTGAACTTTGCTTATTTTTGAAAATAAATCCATTGAGTTTGGGTTCATTTTAAAGCATTTTTAATGTAGATTATAAATTATTAAGAGAATTAATTAAAAAAAATATTTTGATAAATTAATTAATTAGAAATTAAAATACCTTGAAAAATTGTAAGGTCAAATTAACTTACAATTGTTAATTTTCATTCAAAAACCTTTCATTTAATACCAAACACGACATATTTTCGCTAAAAAAATAAAAAACGGATATATCGGATAATTCGTTATACCCGATTTTGNTCTTCATTCAAAAACCTTTCATTTGATACCAAACACAATGTACTTTCGTTAAAAAAACAAAAACCGGATGTATCGGATAATTCGTTATATCCGATTTTGGTCTTTGCTTATTTTTGAAAATAAACCCATCGTGTTTGGGTTTATTTTAAAGCATTTTAGACGTAGATTATGCATTATTAAGAGAATTGATCAAACAAATGTGATTAATTAATTAAAAATCGAAAAACCTTGAACAAATTTAAGGTTAAATTAAGTTAAAATTATTAATCTTCATTCAAAAACCTTTCATTTAATACCAAACACGACGTATTTTTGTTAAAAAAATAAAAACCGGATATATCGATAATTCGTTATATCCGATTTTGGACTTTGCTTATATTTGAAAATAAACTAATCGTGTTTGGGTTAATTTTAAAGCATTTTAGACGTAGATTATGCATTATCAAGAGAATTAATAAAAAACTGTTATTAATTAATAAAAAAATCGAAAAACTTTGAACAAATTTAAGGTTAAATTAAGTTGTATCGGATAATTCGTTATATCCGATTTTGGACTTTGCTAATTTTTGAAAATAAATCCATCGTGTTTGGGTTCATTTTAAAACATTTTAGACGTAGATTATACATCATCAAGTGAATTAATTAAAAAAAAATATGATAAATTAATTAATCAAAAATTGAAAAACCTTGAAAAATGTTGGTTAAATTAAGTTTAAATTATTAATGTTCATTCAAAAACCTTTCATTTGATACCAAACACGACATATTTTCGCTAAAAAAATAAAAAACGGATATATCGGATAATTCGTTATAACCGATATTGTATTATGCTTATTTTTTGAAATAAAGCCATCGAGTTTGGTTTCATTTTAAAGCATATTTAATGGTGATTATGAATTATTAAAGGAATTAATTAAAAAAATGTATTTCGATAACTTAATTAATCAAAAATTGAAACACTTAGAAAAAAATTACGGTTAAATTAAGTCAAAATTATAAAACTTGATTCAAAAACCTTTCATTTGATACCAAACACGACGTATTTTCGTTAAAAAAATAAAAACCGGATATATCGGATAATTTGTTATATCCGATTTTGGATTTTGCTTATTTTTGAAGATAAACCCATCGTGTTTGGGTTCATTTTAAAGCTTTTTAGACGTAGATTTTGCATTATTAAGAGTTAATCAAAAAAATATGATTAATTAATCAAAAATCGAAAAATCTTGAACAAAGTTAAGGTTAAATTAAATTAAAATCATAAAAATATATTCTGATAACTTAATTAATCAGAAATAGAAATACTTAGAAAAAAATTAAGGTTAAATGAAGTCAAAATTAATAGTCTTCATTCAAATACCTTTCATTTGATACCAAACACGACGTATTTTCGTTAAAAAACCCGGATGTATCGGATAATTCGTTATATCCGATTTTGAATTTTGCTTATTTTTGGAAATAAACCCATCGTGTTTGGGTTCATTTTAAAGCATTTTAGACGTAGATTATGCATTATTAAAGAGAATTAATCAAAAATCCAAATACCTTGAACAAATTTATGGTTAAATTAAGTTAAAATCATTAATCTTCATTCAAAAACCTTTCATTTGATACCAAACACGACGTATTTTAGTTAAAAAAACAAAAACCGGATATATCGGATAATTCGTTATATCCGATTTTGGATTTTGCTTATTTTTGAAAATAAACCCATCGTGTTTGGGTTCATTTTAAAGCATATTAAACGTAGATTATGCATTATTAAGAGAATGAATTAAAGAAAAATATTTTGATAACGTAATTAATCAAAAATTGGAAAATCTTGAAAAAATTTAATGTTAAAATAAGTTAAAATTATCAATATTGATTCAAAAACCTCTCATTTCATATCAAACATGACCTATTTTCGTTAAAAATATAAAAACCGGATATATCGGATAATTCGTTATATCCGATTTTGAACTTTGCTTATTTTTGAAAATACACCCATCGTGTTTGGGTTCATTTTAAAGCATTTTAGACGTAGATTATGTATCATTAAGAGAATTAATTAAAAAGAAATATTGTGATAAATTAATTAATCAAAAATTGAAAAAATTTAAGGTTAAGTTAAATCAAAATTATTAATTTTCATTAAAAAACCTTTCATTTGATACCAATCACGACGTATTTTCGTTAAAAAAATAAAAACCGGATATAACGGATAATTCGTTATATCCGGTTTTGAACTTTGCTTATTTTTGAAAATAAACCCTTCGTGTTTGGATTCATTTCAAAGCATTTTTAACGTTGATTATGAA